TTATCAGAATATGAGATCTCACCGAGAGAAAGTATTATGCAGTCAGTCACTAACTTGCTGAGTGATGCTGATCAGAGCAAAGATCTGCCCCAGAGGTGCTTCTGTAACCTGTTTCAGCGTCTTGTCGTTCAGTAAGTTTTCGACTCACACTCCAAGATCCCGGGTTTGATTCCCGGGCGGGACAGAAAAGATTGGACACGTATCCTTTTGTGTCAAAAGTTATGACGTTAAAGTAGTTCAACCTTAGGATTGTACTGAGGTGAACCTCAATACAATCCTGAACTATATAAAACACAGGTTTCTTGTCCCCGACAAAACTCATTTTAATTTACAATTACATAGACTGCATGTATAACCTGGCTACCTGTCAACGAATTGAGTGTTATACGACAAAGAGTACTAGGAAGACGGGACACCACGAGCATAGCTCTAATCCTGTAACTACACTTAGGTAATCACTTAGGTAATTACACACACTCTCAGATTATAACGTCATATCTTGGACGCAAGAGGTAGAGGTGATGACTGTAGACTATTGCGACAGTGAGGCCAGATACAGTGAGGCCAGATACAGTGAGGCCAGATACAGTGAGGCCAGATACAGTGAGGCCAGATACAGTGAGGCCAGATACAGTGAGACCAGATACAGTGAGGCCAGATACAGTGAGACCAGATACAGTGAGGCCAGATACAGTGAGAGTCAGATACAGTGAGGCCAGATACAATGAGGCCAGATACAGTGAGGCCAGATACAGTGAGGCCAGATACAGTGAGGCCAGATACAGTGAGACCAGATACAGTGAGGCCAGATACAGTGAGAGTCAGATACAGTGAGGCCAGATACAATGAGGCCAGATACAGTGACGCCAGATACAGTGAGGCCAGATACAGTGAGGCCAGATACAGTGAGACCAGATACAGTGAGGCCAGATACAGTGAGAGTCAGATACAGTGAGGCCAGATACAATGAGGCCAGATACAGTGACGCCAGATACAGTGAGGCCAGATACAGTGACGCCAGATACAGTGAGGCCAGATACAGTGAAGCCAGATACAGTGAAGCCAGATACAAGGACCTCTCTGCGGGGAAGGGAGGGAAGCAACTATCGGGAGAAAGCACCAAACCATTACAACTATACAGCACTTGGAAGGGATCAGAATAAGGATTTGAGATGAGACGAGAGAAAGAAAGAATAGTACCCAACCACTTGGACGCTCGAGGATTGAACACCGACCTGCATGAAGCAAGACCGTCGCTCTACCGTCCAGCCCAAGTGGCTGGGGGGCATCTCTCCTGGAGATACAGTTGAAACGTCACATTCACTCGTCTCAAAATTACCTCAAGAGGTCAGAGATGCCGAGGGGGCCGTTCAGTGCCTCCCTTGGTCTATCACTGGCTCGGACCTGGCAAGGTCTTCGTGTTTCATTCACCGGCAGTGTTATTGTTCGCACAGCTGACGCCATTATGAAACGCGGGACGCAACTTCGTTTCCAGTTTCTGGCCGTGACGACACTTTTGGTCGTTCTGCGCCGACCTTGATGCTTTGCTGGGAATAAAAAGACCAGACTTCAACGGAATTCACTTACAGGATTTTGTGTTGTAAGCCCAGTCATTCTATATATATATATATATATATATATATATATATATATATATATATATATATATATATATATATATATATATATATATATATATATATATATAAAATATGTTGTTAAATATGACCGAGAAAGTAAGAATAATAATTCTAACACGAATTTTCTCAATATTTCTTATGTTTCTTTTTACTGTCGATGGTAATTGAAAAATCAATTCTCCAAAATTCATTTATATATATATATATATATATATATATATATATATATATATATATATATATATATATATATATTATATATATATATATATATATATATATATATATATATATATATATATATATATATATATATATATATATATATATATATATATATGTACACTTTTACATAAACATAAGACTATGTACACCAAAAAAGTACATAATCTTGCGTCTATGTAAGTCACAAAACTCACCCATTTAAAAACTCGCTTCTTTTGTTAACTTGATTAAGCCTCGAAAACCGCTTGATGATGAGTCATTAAAAAAGAGTAACTTTCTCTTTCTGTCTTTTGTGTGTTTCTCTTCTACTTTCTCCCGCTTTCCTTTCCTCTGAGGAATGTTATTCGATTATTTCTCACATGATCTCGAACTTCATGTTTCTAGGCTGTTTTTATTCAGTCCTTTCACCTCCACCGAATTATAGTAAATTGAACGTTCCTTTGCAATACTGAAAGGCAATCACAATGGCGCGCGCGCACACGCGCACACACACACACGCCGGTGGCTGTGTGGGCAGCACGCTAGACACGTAATCATGTGGCCCGGGTTCGATTCCCGGCGCCGGCGACAAAACAAAATGGTCAGTTTCTTTCGCCCTGATGGTCTGTTACCTAGCAGAAAATAGGTACCTCGGAAATTGACAGCTGTTACGGGCTGCTTCTTGGGTGTGTGTGTGTGTGTGTGGGAGGGGGGGGGAAGTTAGTTAGTAGTTAGTAACAGTTGATTCATTGACGGTTGAGAGCCGGGCCGAAAGAGCAGAGCTCAACCCCCTGCAAGCACAACTAGAACTAGGTGAACTAGATGAATACACACACACACACACACACACACACACACACACACACACACACACACACACACACACACACACACACACACATACAGGAACACAGGAACTCCATACACAGTTTCAAATGTAAATATGATAGAGCCCAGTAGGCTCAGGAATCTGTACACCAGTTGATTGACTGTTGAGAGGCGGGACCAAAGAGCCAAAGCTCAACCCCCGCAAGCACAAATAGGTGAGTACACACACACAAGCAGGCCTGTGAAGACACAAATCAACAATAAAATCAATATAGTTCAAAAGACAATGCCCAGAAAGAAACTAACGTACATCTATACACCACATGGAAGGGGAGGGGACTAGGAGCTGGAGTACGACCAAGGGAATTCTCTGTAAATATGTATAAACTAACCCAACATAAATGAACAAACAGATACAAATAAAACACATAAATTTTAACTTGATTTTCAATGCAGAGGCCAAAATGAGAAAGATAAAACGAAGATTATCTGACAGAGTGTCACCTAGGATATTAAGAGAAGACTAGGCAAGACCTAAGTATACGCACTATTAGCTCTAATCTTCAAATGATGACCAGACCACACACTAGAAGGTGAAGGGACGACGACGTTTCGGTCCGTCCTGGACCATTCTCAAGTCGTCTAATCTTCAAAGATTCAATTCCTGAGGGAGGGAATTATCAGGGGAGAGCGCTAAGCAATTACGACTATATAGCACTTGGAAAGGGTCAGGATAAGGATTTGGAATGGGATGGGGGGAAAGGAATGGTGCCCAGCCACTCGGACGGTCGGGGATTGAACGCCGACCTGCGTGAAGCGAGACTGTCGCTCTACCGTCCAGCCCAAGTGGTTGAGCGATTTACCAAGCTGTCAGATAGGTGGTAAGGAAGCGGCACATACCTACAGACCATCCGTCACTGACAAGCATCTTCCGCAAAGTTCTTAAAATAATATTAAAAAATAGATTAGAAAACGCCTAGAGAGGATAAAATGTGTAAACAAACACCAATCACAGCTTTACTGAAGTTAAATCATGCCTGAAGAATCTACTGATGTCCGGTGATAACAAAAATAAGATAGGACAAAGATGGACAATGGAGAGTATTTCTGGAAATCGTAAAGGCCTTAGACACCGATTCACATAAGGAATAACTACACAAATTTGAGAGGCAGGCGAGAGTATAGACATAAACACTGATGGAAGTGAGAGTACCTAACAGGCTGGAGTCAGAGATTCAGTGAGAGCCAATAAGTGATATTGGTGTTGTTAATCAAGTGGAGTCAATCCAAAAAGAATACTAGGACTCATGTTATTTCTCATTTATATTAATAGCCTATATATGGGGATTAAGTCCTCCTCCATCGTTCCAAATTGGTGCAAAATTAGGCTTACACATTAAGCCTTACTCTGGAGGCACAAATAAATTGGATGAAGTCAATCGCATATTCTAAAATGGTAAAAAATCAGGACGTCATTCAGGATCCTAGCTAATAGGGACATTCAAATCAGTATGTAAAAACATACAAAAACCTATAGTGTGGCAGAACACATGTAATGTAAACGACGTTTCCTGTGGGAGCGCAGCCTTCTCTAACATCCACAATAGTTACCTTGAACAGAGAGAAGAATTATATTCAGAGAAGGGGGAGGGGGGGGGGGGGTTTGGCTAGTATTTGTAGCTGCAACTCTAAGGTTAATAGATCTTTGATGTTGTTTTGAACAGAGATGTTACAGGATTGTATCCGTTCTTCACCCTTGGTGGAGTCTGGACCGGGGTGAGACTACAGATTACAGACTACAACAAGGGTACTGTGATGTAAAGTGAAAAAGAACTACAGCATATGATGTAAAGTGAAAAAACTCATGACCAACAAAGTAGACAAGTCCATAACCACAACTGTAGTCAACTGTAACAAATTATGCAGCAAAGAACCACTTTAAAAAGGAAACGTTGTCACTGGAAATTGTACAACACTGTGTTTCACAGAGTTTGTTTAACTCTAAGCCCTAATTCTAATTAATTATTTTAACAATTAAATTAACAAAGTTCTTTATCAAATAAAATTTCACAAACGTGAGTCTGTGGTCCTTCGAATCCCTACCATTAGTCAATGATCTTACCGGCCTTACCATAAGTCAATGGTCCTTCGAGCCATACCATGAGTCAGTGGTCCTTCGAGCCCTACCATAAGTCAATGGTCCTTCGAGCCATACCATAAGTCAATGGTCCTTCGAGCCCTACCATGAGTCAGTTGTCCTTCGAGCCCTACCATAAGTCAATGGTCCTTTGAGCCCTACCATGAGTCAGTTGTCCTTCGAGCCCTATCATGAGTCAGTGGTCCTTACCAAGAGTCATCAAACAATACTATGAGCCACAGGGTCAGTACCATGAGGCACGGGGTTTGTACCATGAGCCACATGGTCTGTACCATGAGCTACAGGGTCTGTACCATGAGCCACATGGTATGTACCATGAGCCACATGGTCTGTACCATGAGCTACAGGGTCTGTACCATGAGCTACAGGGTCTGTACCATGAGCTACAGGGTCTGTACCATGAGCCACATGGTCTGTACCATGAGCCACATGGTCTGTACCATGAGCTACAGGGTCTGTACCATGAGCCACATGGTCTGTACCATGAGCCACATGGTCTGTACCATGAGCTACAGGGTCTGTACCATGAGCTACAGGGTCTGTATCATGAGCTACAGGGTCTGTACCATGAGCCACATGGTCTGTAATATGAGCCACATGGTCTGTACCATGAGCCACAGGGTCTGTACCATGAGCCACATGGTCTGTACCATGAGCTACAGGGTCTGTACCATGAGCCACATGGTCTGTACAATGAGCCACATGGTCTGTACCATGAGCCACAGGGTCTGTACCATGAGCCACAGGGTCTGTACCATGAGCCACATGGTCTGTACCATGAGCCACAGGGTCTGTACCATGAGCCGCAGGGTCTGTACCATGAGCCACATGGTCTGTACCATGAGCCACAGGGTCTGTACCATGAGCCACATGGTCTGTACCATGAGCCACAGGGTCTGTACCATGAGCCACATGGTCTGTACCATGAGCCACAGGGTCTGTACCATGAGCCACATGGTCTGTACCATGAGCCACAGGGTCTGTACCATGAGCCACAGGGTCTGTACCATGAGCCACAGGGTCTGTACCATGAGCCACAGGGTCTTTACCATGAGCCACAGGGTCTGTACCATGAGCCACAGGGTCTGTACCATGAGCCACAGGGTCTCTACCATGAGCCACATGGTCTGTACCATGAGCCACAGGGTCTGTACCATGAGCCACATGGTCGTTGCAATAAATCTCTAATTTATCAACATAACACAGCTTCCAGTCATGGTTTAGGCCAAGATATCCTGCCTTACTATACACTTCCAAACTAGGCCTAAACCATATCGTAGTTCACACAGCCCTCCTCTTCTCACAACGTGCAAAATACAACGTTCTAACCTAACGAGAAACATCCAAACCCGACCAACCCACCAAACCTTCCGACGCATAGAAAACGGGAGCATATGAGAGCCGGTAACTTTTATAAAATTATATGAATTCAATTTATATTATTTTACATACAATTTTGTATGTAATGGTGACCACTACATACAAAATGAGACGTACTAAGAAGAGGTGTTACACACAGTCCTACTCTCTCATGCACAAGCTTCAAAGGCAAATATAAGTTATGCCTAAGTGTCTTCAAATTATTCTTGAAATTTCGTATCACTGGGATAAATTTACCCAGATAATTCTTCCTATTTCTGAATGATGTGATCGAGTTAGAAGCTGTTTTATTGCTAATAAACTGAATTGCTGAGCTTAATATTTATTATCAACTAGCTGTACCCGGCCACGCGTTGCTGTGGCTCAGCAATGCATGTGTGTTGCTGAACCACAGTATCCAACCCGTCCTCTTAAAAATAACGTCACTTTTCGCTCGTATGCGCACTATGGCCAAATTTGGACGTAATTTGAAATGAAATCGACTCACAAAAGTGACGTTCTGTTCCGTTTTCTATTTGAGTCGGCCGGCGTACGCGCAGAGGTTATAAGAGGACACTTTAAATTAACGTTTTTCATACCGTTTTGAAACTTTATGAGAATTTCCTGCCCACCTAACCTATCAGAGGACCCTTAACTTACTGTTGTTGAAAAAAAAAATCCCAAATTTATTATCATTTTTTCTTCAATTTCAAATTACGTCCAAATTCGGCCATACGGGCAAACGGCCAAAAGCGACGTTCTTTTTAAGAGGACAGGTTGAAATAATTAAATCAAAATGAAAATAAATAGAAATCTATGAAAATTCAGTTCATCAATTAAATTGGAAACATTTAAATAGAATCGTAACATAATTAATATAGCGTGCGTTGCTCCTACGTGCAACAGATGGCGCTATTTAAAAAAAAAAAAAAAACATGTTTTACCTGTCCCAGGTATGGCATCTATATAGTAGGTATATAAAAACACGCGCCTATTCGAAGGCAACGTTGTGTCAAAATTTCATAACAATCGGTAAAGAGGTTTCGAAGATTTCCCTCACATGAAAACACATGAAAAACACAGTTTAAAAAAAAACATGTTTTTTCCCCGTCATAGACGTGACATGTATATAGAATGTATATAAAACCTGCTCGGATGCGACTGGAACGTTGTGTCAAAATTTCAAAGCAATCGGTGAAGAATTTTCGGAGATTAGCGATTTTGAACAAACGAACATTTCCATTTTTATTTATATAGATTTCCTATTAACTACCGACGATGAATGGATGAATTATCGCTTATTTTGATACTACAAACTGGTGAATGGACGAACTGATGAATGGAGGAATCATCGCTTATTTTGGTACTACATAATGAGGTATCGCTTATGGAGGAGCTATCGCTTACCGCTGTTCAATCGACTGGTCTACCGCATGTCGATAAACTACCGTTTATTGAAGCACAATATTACAAGGTCTATTTCTGTCTATCACAAGGACTCGGTGCCGCTTGCTCTGAACATTCTGTGGGTGCAACAGTCAAGCACATGTTGTTCAACATGAACAACGTGAACAAAACGGCTGGATCTACCACACTGTGGAACCACCAGTGGGAGAGAGCAGATGATAAAGGTGGTAAGTGGGCCGGATAGGCAGTGAGGGCCGGATAGCCAGTATGGGCCGGATAGCCAGTGTGGGCCGGATAGCCAGTATGGGCCGGATAGCCAGTATGGGCCGGATAGCCAGTGTGGGCCGGATAGCCAGTGTGAGCAGGATAGCCAATGTGAGCTAGAACTGCCCAGTGAAAAAAAAATTAATTAGTAGTATATAGATTTCGTCAAAGTTATCATTGATTATTGAATCAAATTAGAGGATCCATAACCAAGTGAAATCTTCAGTAGATGAAAAGCTCAAGTTATATAAACATGTTTAGCAAGCAATATTAGGATAAGAAAACATTGACCTGCTCAAGAGTCATCACAAGCAGCGGTTACAACTCCCTTTAAGACACCACCATGACTGGAGGCTCGTTACTGGCGTAAGGTAACGAGGCCGAACACCCCGGTACTTGAAACGAGATGGAACACACGCTAGCAGGTCGACGAATAGCACGAGCTTGCCTACGCAGCTCTTGGATAGTTACACCATCACATGCCTGGTCTTGTCCTGGTAACTAGTAACTGTTATCTGTACAGCTTCAGGTAGTTATCTGTACAGCTTGAGGTACAGTTATCTGTACAGCTTCTGGTAGTTATCTATACAGCTTCAGGTACAGTTATCTGTACAGCTTCAGGTACAGTTATCTGTACAGCTTCAGGTAGTTATCTGTTCAGCTTCAGGTACAGTTATCTGTACAGCTTCAGGTACAGTTATCTGTAATGCTTCTGGTAGTTATCTATACAGCTTCAGGTACAGTTATCTGTACAGCTTCAGGTACAGTTATCTGTACAGCTTCAGGTAGTTATCTGTTCATCTTCAGGTACAGTTATCTGTACAGCTTCAGGTACAGTTATCTGTACAGCTTCAGGTACAGTTATCTGTACAGCTTCAGGTACAGTTATCTGTACAGTTTCAGGTACAGTTATCTGTACAGCTTCAGGTACAGTTATCTGTACAGCTTCAGGTACAGTTATCTGTGCAGCTTCAGGTACAGTTATCTGTACAGCTTCAGGTACAGTTATCTGTACAGCTTCAGGTACAGTTATCTGTACAGTTTCAGGTACAGTTATCTGTACAGCTTCAGGTACAGTTATCTGTACAGCTTCAGGTACAGTTATCTGTACAGCTTCAGGTACAGTTATCTGTACAGCTTCAGGTACAGTTATCTGTACAGCTTCAGGTACAGTTATCTGTACAGCTTCAGGTACAGTTATCTGTACAGTTTCAGGTACAGTTATCTGTACAGCTTCAGGTACAGTTATCTGTACAGCTTCAGGTACAGTTATCTGTACAGCTTCAGGTACAGTTATCTGTACAGCTTCAGGTACAGTTATCTGTACAGCTTCAGGTACAGTTATCTGTACAGCTTCTGGTAGTTATCTATACAGCTTCAGGTAGTTATCTGTATAGTTTCCGGTAGCTATCTATACAGCTTCAGATAGTTATCTGTATAGCTTCACCTAGTTATCTGTACAGCTTCAGGTAGTTATCAGTACAGTCATTATGTTTACTGATGTAAACATAATGATAGTGATGGCTTGGAATTAAACACACGCACCTTGCTGTGGACTCCGGAAGACCCGAGTACTGCTGACTGTTTTCACTGGATTTGAACACCTTTTTCGTCATTATAATTATTTCACTCACTCACTTCAACAATTTTCTTACAATCAAGTTAATATTTCTTGTCAGGTTTGAGTGGTCATTGCAAGGATGAACCCCTGAGGTGCGTCTTCAACATGTCCTCCATTCTCAGTTTGTTCTCAGAAAAAAAATGACAGATCAAAAAATGCTTAAAGGAATATTATAAAGGCATCTATCTCACTGCATAGAAATTTAAGTTCAGAATCTGGGTAAAACGAGTTCAGTGAGTTACAAAAATATACAAAACATTTGGCAGAATTTAAAATGGGGGGTTGTATAATTATGTAATTTTTCCAATGTATCTGGTTGTGGTGCCAAACGAATTATTAGCCAAAAAATTCAATAAATAAATAAATAAATAAAAAGTTATAGAAAAAAATTGCCCTAATATTGACTATTTGACAGCCATCTTCACTGACTTTTAACTGTTTAAACAATGGATGAAGGCGTAGAGAAAATATTAAAGAACTAAAAACAGCAATATGTTACTTCGGGCTCACCATAGCCTGTGCTACTTGGAATTTTTTGTTCCAAGTAGCGAATCTTAAAAAACAACAACAACAACAATATGTTTTAGACCTTTTTTAGTGTGAAATTGCCTGAGAAAATATTACTTCATTTCACAACTACTTTGCCTATATGATAAGTAAAATTGACACACATGTAAATATAGCAATTTCAGAATATAGTTCCGCTTAGCAATTCCGTAAAATGTTTGTTGTGTTCAACGTTGTCGAGCATTATGGAAGCATCAGTCAACTGAGGAGTAACCCGGTAACTACCCGGGTTACCCGGTAACTCTAAATCCTGAATGGTTTCCACCACCACAGTACCATATAGAGCCGTAAAGTAACCAGTTTTGAATGCAAATTGAAAGTCAGAGGTGTGTAGTTGGCCAACTAGAAAGTCATGAATATATATTAATC